TTAACTACAAATTATGTAGTTATTGTTTACAAATTATGTAGTCTGCAGTATTTTATTATACAAATGGCAACCTACACATAGGGTCTAGACAAACAGGCTTTATAATATCAAAAAGCAGAGGTGACCTCTGGAAGGTGTGATTAGTGTCTCCCATGATTTTCTAATTGGCATGGACTGAAGTGAGGGCCACTGGAAGCCTTCTTGCCTCCATATGTTAAGTAGCATATAATACTAATGGACAGTATTCATTAAAAGTACAGAATTAAAATGAATTAAATTTTGGCTTAAACTGCAACAACGACCAAGGAGACAGTATTTGCAAATTGTGTATCTGATAAAAGTCTAATACCTAGAGGACATAAAGAAGTTTTACAATTCAACAACAAAAGAAACAACTCAATGAAAAAAAAATAGACAAAGGATTTGGGTAGCTATTCCTCCAAAGAAGATATTCAAATGGACAGTAAGGAAAGAAGAGATAAAAGCATCACTATTAGATAAAGAAATATAAATTGAAACCACAGAGAGCTATGATTTCACATCTGAGAATGTAAATAAATGGTACAGCACTATGGGAAAGAGTTTGGTGGTTAAAAAAATGAACACCACAGAATTACCACATGAGTCAGCTATTTCACTGATAGGTACATACCGCCCTTAAATTGAGAATGAATGCTTTAAGACAACTGTACATAAATATTCATAGCAATATTATTCACAATAGCTGAAAGGTAGAAATAACCTAATGTCCATCAAGAAATGAATGAATAAACAAAACGTGGTATACACACTCAATGGAAGATTATTCAACCATAAAAATGAATAAAGTACTGATTACGCTATAACATAGACCCATCTTGAAAACATTATGTTAACTGAAAGAAGCCAAGAACAAAAAGGTCACATGCTGTATGGTTCCATTTATATAAAATATCCATAATAGGAAAACCCATGAAGACAGGTTGCCAGGGGCTAAAGGAAGATGGGGTTAGGGAGTCACTGTTTAATGGATACAGGGTTTTCCTTTGGGGTGACAAAAATATTCTAGAACTAGACCGAAGTGTAAATATACTGAATACCACTAAGCTAGACTCTAAAACATCTAATTTTATGTTATGTCAATCTCATGTTAAATTTCAAAATTTAAAAAAAATCAAATAAAGAGAAGAGAGTGAGAATGCAGTCAGGAATCCAATTTACATTCTACAAAACTAAGAAGAGTGAGGGAAGGTGTGGATTTGGGGGGGGGGCGTTGAAAGGGATGATATTGACCAAGATATATTGTATTCATTAACTGCTTTATAAATGGCAACTCCTTTGTACAACTACTTAAAGATAATAACAATTTTTAAAATGCAAGACAAGAAAGCAAACTTAAGCTCCCGTTTTTAAATCAAATATACATATTACAGGTTCCCATTCACTTTCTTATATTTTTGAAACTGAAAAGAATACTTGGGTTCAAATCAATCATAATATTGGAAAAGGCACAGAGCAGCTACATAACTGAGAGCCATTGTTCTCCCCAATATGTAGTCATCCCTCAGCACATGAGGAGTTGGTTCCCACCAGGCCACATGGATGCCCAAATCTGTGATTCCCAAGTCCCTTATATAAGAGCACATAGCTGGGCACTGGTGGCTCATGCCTATAATCCTAGTTACTCAGGAGGCTGAGATCTGAGGACCACGGTTCAAAGCCAGCCTGGGCTGGAAAGTCCATGGGACTTATCTCCAATAAAACCACTAGAAAACAGCAGTGGCACTGTTGCTCAAGCAGTAGAGTGCTCACCTTGAGCTGAAGAATGCAGGGACAGTGCCCAACCCCAGAGTTCAAGCCCCACAACTGACCAAAAAAAAAAAAAAAGGAAAGAAAAATAAAAAGAATACATAGTGTTTGCATATAACCTTCTGACATCCTTCTGTATATTAAAGTTATGTAAATAGTTGCAATACTGTATTGTTTAGGGAATAATGACAAATATTCAACACAGACACAATATTTCCCAAGTCCTAATCTAATGTTAGTTGAATCCACGAATGTATCAGAACTCACAGACACAAAAGACTATGTGTAGAATTAAGGTCCTCCAGTAGTGCCTCCCTTTCCTCTATCCCACCCTATTTGCTTCTAAATGCAATGACGCTAAACTGCAGCTTCCTAAATATGCTTGGGGATATTTCATTGCTTCATGCCATGAGCACAACATTCTTTGAATCTAGAACAGTGGTTCTCAACTGGAATTGCACATCACAGCTACTGAAGCCTTAAAAAAAAAAAAGGCCTTATCAAATGGAGCAGAATCTCTGGGGAGGGACTAGGAATCTGGGGTTCAAGAGCTTGTATTTAAATGCTTTCCAGATGACTTTCATGTGTGGCCAGGTTTGAGAAAAAAAATGTGTCTATCAAATTCTATATTGCCTTTCCTTCAGCCTAGTGTGGTGTTTACTAAACTCTAATTATTCATGCATCAGTTGTAAAAAAGTAAAAATTTAGCCATTTGATTTAAATTTTAGCCATTTTACTTCAATTTCAAATTTATTAATAAAGTTGTCCAGGAAGTGGTGCTTCTGGCTCAGAGTGGTAGAGTGCTAGTCTTGAGTGAAAAGCTCAGGGACAGTGCCTAGGCCCTGATTTCAAGCCTCACAGCCAACAAGAAATAAATGAAGAAATGAATAAACGAATAAATAAAGCTGTCCATAAGATCATAGTCTCTAATGTCTGCATGTTTGTTTGTAATGTTCCTTCTTTATTCATCATATTTGTCATTTTGTTTTGCCTTTTCTGTTTCTGGATTGGCCTTTGGGCTTACTGATCATCCAGCTTTTGCCTTCATTCACTACTTTTCCATTGCATAGTTGTCCACTTAATTTATATTCCTACCCTTCTTTCCTTTTTTTTTTTTTAAATGTTTTGGTCTGAGATTGACACTCAAACTATATATAAGAACTTTTGCTGATTGGTTGGTACTCCATCACCTGAGCCACACCTCCAACTGCTCCTATCTTTATTATTTCCTTCCTTTTCCTTTCACTAACTGTTTTGTAGTTGATTGAGATGGAGACCTTAATGATTGATTTTTGCTTTTATTTCCTGATGATTGATGTGTGTGTGTGTGCATACACAAGCTTGAGGATATACGCTTTCCTCTGAAAACTTCAGAAGTGGCTGTAATGTGCAATCCCAGTTGAGAACCACTGTTCTAGATTCAAAGAATGTTGTGCTTATGGCATGAAGCAATGAAATATCCCCAAGCACACTGAGGAAGCTGCATTATCTTCATTGCATTTAGAAGCAAATAAGGTGGGAAAGAGGAAAGGTAGGCACACAGATTTAGCTGTACCTTACAAATGTTGACATGTTGTATTTTTACTATTATTTAGTTTAAATAATTTTAAACTTCCTTTACAGTTTTTTGTTTGAGCATACACAATACATTATTTAGGACATTTATTTTTTATTTCTAGTAAGTTCTAATGGGACCAGTGAACATTTCCTGAATTATCTCAATATTTCAGTTTCTTGGGCCCAGCATGACTGATTTCAGTACATGTTGTATGTACGTTCTAAAAAGGCACATGTACTCTGCAAACTATTGGCATAATAATTCTTTGTACATATTTATGTCTAATTTATTAATGATATTGTTTAAGTCTTTAGATATTTATTGTTTTACCTGTTTTTAACACCATTCTTGACCTAACAGTTACTGAAATGAAAATCTTCTACAATTAGATTTCTTTGTTGTTCTGTGATTTTTTTTTTCTGGCACCAGTATTTGGGCTTGAACTCAGGGACTGGGCAGTCTCTCTGAGCTTTTTTGCTTCAGGCTGGTACTTTACCACTTGAGCCACTGCTCCACTTCCAGCTTTTTTGCTGGTTAACTGGAGATAAGAGTCTCATGAATTTTCCAGCCCAGTCTAGCTTCAAATCATGATACTCAAATCTCAACCTCCTGAGTAGCTAGAATTATAGGCATGAGCCACCCCAGGCTTATGTCATTGTCTCTTGAAATATGTTTCCCTTGTGTTCTTTCCAGCTTTTCTGTGACTACAATTTTGCACATGTTAGACATTCATATTGTTTCTGATTTGTCTAGTACTTTTCTCTATTCCATCCCTTTTGTGTTTTATGCTTTGGTCAAGATACAATGCTCCTTAACTTGTAATGAGGTTATTCTCTGATAAACACATTGTAAGTTGAACACATCTGAAACAGAGCATGCATTTAATATACTTAAGCACACTGTAGGGAATTGGCTGTCCTCCCTTGTGATCTCATGGTTGACTGGGGGAGAGCTCACTGTTGCTACCATTGAGCATTGCACAAGTATTCTCTCTATTCCTGGCACACTAAAACTCAACTCTAAGTATGTTTTCCACTGAAAGGCTATCTTTTTGCACCATTGTAAAATTGAAAAATGCTAAATCAAATCATCATGAGTTACTCACTGTCTATATTTTTTTTTCTTTTTTGTTGGTCATGGGGCTTGAACTCGGGGCCTGGGTTCTATCCCTGAGCTCTTTTGTTCAACTACCACTTTGAGCCACAGTTCCACTTCCACTTCTATATTTTCTACTAACCTATCATTAACTTCACTAATCTATTTTCCTGCTATGTTCTATCTACTACTAAGCCATTTATCCTTTCCTTAGTTGGCTCTCTGACAAATCTTTTAACCATTTTACTTGCTGAGTGGCAAGCAACAGGTACTACGTGAATATTTTCAGGACATATATTTGTCCTCAAAAGTAAAAGAAACACACTAAGTTTAAATGAGTCAATTTTGCTAAAACTGAAAAATTTTGTAAGTATGGTAGTTGAACCATTAGAATCTAGTTGAACAATTATATTTTATTTAAAAGAAAATGGTGTACTTTACGGAGGTTAAGAGGTGTAACAATTTAGGAAACAATTTATATTGTTAATATACCCTATGTTCTATCCATAGTTCAAATTAGCTTGGTGTTAAAAACATTTGAAAAAAAAAAGACACTTACTCTCTTTCCTTTTCAGTCAGCTTGTCATTGATATTATCTTTGATGGTTGATCTAGACCCCTTATGAATTATAGGGTATCTGAGGGGCACTTGTAGAAAAAAGGAAATCATGGAGACCAAATGTGCAGTATAACCAAGGGCAACAGCAATGCTTCCATCATCTTTTGCTGTAAATTCAAAAGCAGAGGAAAAGAAAACAACCATTTACCTTATAAATGTAGCTAGGAGATAAAACAAATCAATTTCAAAGGAGAGCTAATAAGAATTTAGTGATAAATAAAATGTTAATCACTTATATATAGAAATGAATTTTATGCAAATCTAAATGAATTAACAAAACTAAACTTGATCCACTAATTATATTTAAAGCTATTTCTCAATTATTAGTGTATAAGAAAACTTTTCACATATATATCTTAAGAGTTATTAGTGTGCCAAAGCATCCATTACCTTCTTTCTTAGCAGTTGTTTTTTTTTGTTGTTTGTTTGTTTGTTTGGGAGGGGGGCGTGTATTGGTGTATCAACGTAGAGCTTCACATTTGTTAGGCAGATGCTCTACCACGTACTTGATCCATGCAACCAGACCCCTTCCCAGCAATTTAAAGGGAAGAATTAATACTTAAGTCAATTACATAAAAATTGTAAAAATTACTCAGAGGCTTAAATACAGAATACTACATAAGCATTATACATATTATTAATTAGTAATTTTTAGGCAACATTGTAATACTGTACTATTCCACATTATCATTCATTTTGAAGAGAAGTAAAATGCACAATGCAGCTTTAAGGGGTATGTTTTGATACTGACCAAGACAGTGTTGTATACGTAAATCTGGAAAGTTTAAGATGAAATAAGGGAAGATATAAGGTCAAATCACATTGTTCATGTGCTATCCTATTTATGCAATGTAGGTAGAAGTAACTAGGAGAAAATGCATGTGTCATTCAGTCAAACACAAACATCTAGCATTTAACAAGTTTTAGACAATCACATTACAACTTAGCATCATCATCATCATCATCCAGATTTCTTACAGTAGCATCATAGAAAGTTCTAACTTTCCTGCAGAAGAAAGGCAAAATGGCCTTGCACAGGCAGGTATTTAAGGTATTTCATAAAATACCTTAAAAAGTGTATATATACTCACACTGAAAGGTTTAACACATAGTCTGAATACCCCAGCTGGCAAGAGATGGGCTTAAAATGATTACAATGATCATAGCTTGACTACTTTCTGAGTTTTCTGTGCTTGTAATTAATTATCTATGTACCACCTTCTTAAGCTAGGAATGCCAACAGAGGCACCCATTCCTCTGTGAATTCTCTACCTATGTACAACACAAGAAATTCTTGGTTTCTTTTTAGTCATCCTATAAAAATCAGTAACTTTTACTATTATAAAGTCTTCTTTCTGAAAATGTAGTACATTATATTTGATATTTATTCATTAACAATTTTTATACTGAGCTCCATTTTAATGCTATTTCATTTATTTTATAAGTAAACCAAGGCTTAAAGAAATTAAAGAACCTGTCCAAAGCAGTACAGTGGGTACACATATTGGCCTGACACTAAATTCGCTATTCTTGACTATTCTATCATACTGTTGTAGAATTTTAGGGTTAAAAAGCCAATTTATAATAAATAACATTTAAATGTGGGAACCTAGAGTATACCAAGCATATGATCCAGGTACTACTTTAGTTTCTACACTCTTTTCTAGTAAAACTAAAGAATACACAAAATGTCTGAGTCCTTGATCACTTGGATAGTGACTGACAAAAACAGGCTTCTCAATCCATGTCATTATCTCAAAATAAACTCATGAGAATAAAACAATAACATTCACTTCAACTGATTATTGAATCATACCCTCAATAAATAGCATCCTAATTATTTTCAGAGGCCACATCTTCCCATCTAAATCCCTTAATTACTACTACAAATTTCTGCTTCTGTCAAAACCTATATATCATACAATCCTAGAAACTGAAAGTATGTTACATTATAAATTCAATGTCATATAATATTTGAGCTAAAGCAATCCTACAGATCATATAATCTGACACTATCAACTTATTGATGAGAATAAAGGTATGGCTTGGCCAAAGGCACAGTTATCAATGGAAGAATTGTATCCACATTTCAAAATACTATGATTGCAGAACATTTAGATGTGAAGTCACATCCGGGCCTGAGCTCCTTCATAGTCTGCTGAATGCTGCCTCCTTCATGCTATAGACAGGCTTAGCAAATACAAAGTACTCCTGTGAGTCAGGCACTGGTGGCTCAAGCTTATAATGCTAGCTACTCAGGAGACTGAGACCTAGAGGATGGAGCTATCCTGGACAGAAAAGTCTTTGAGACTCTAGCTCCAATTAACCAGAAAAAATTCTGGGCTGCAGATGTGGTTCAAGTGGTAGAGTGCCAGCTGTGAGCAAGAAAGCCAAGGGAAAGCAGAGCCCTGAGGAGTTCAAGTCCCAATGCCAGCCCCCCCCCCACGTGTTCCTCTGAGTAAAAGAACTTGGTTTTTAAGAACCCTCTTTTGAAGTAGAGAGGAAAAGGAAGAAGAGGACTTAGAATAAAGAAAACTAATGTTATGCCTTTTCATATAACCTGGTAAAAAAAGGACTTGAAAACTTCTAGAAAGAGCAAAAGGCCTCTTATTTAATCAGTTTTCCAAACAGGTCAAAAGCAAACTGATTTTTTTTAAGCTTATCTGGTACTAACTTCAAGCATCCACTTTTTAAAAATATTACTACTAAGGTAATATTAAAGAATTTTATTTGCATATTTTGAGTGACATATGCATTTTTATTTAAAAAAAACTATTCCTCTAACATCTCCTCCCTTATCCCAGTGAAAAGAATAATTTTGTTTACATTAAAAGCATCTCTAAGAGAAGTCTATGCACAGAAGTCAGAAAAACAAAGATAAATAATAAACAATTAAAATTAGTAATACTGGAAACCAGCTTTGATTGAGGTTATTCTCACTCACCATCATGGTCACAAGACTCCTGCTCCACCTATTAATACCCACTCCAGGCCATAGAGCTCCATCCCAGCCTTATGGTTAAACACTGTGGTGTTGGATTTCCAATATTGCAGCTTTATATTAAAAAGAATTTTAAAAGGACCATGGGTGAAGCATTACAGGACCCTGGGGTATTCCAATGCCCTCAAAAGGAAAACCACCTCCTGGTAGGGAAGTCACTTTCATCACCCCGAGACCACTGAACCTCCAGTGGGAAAATGTGAGCTCATGTGGTTAATTATGGCTGTTGCAACCTCACATGTCACATTCTCTTGCCAATCACTTTAGTGAAAAAACCAAAAGGTTTAAGGTTTCTAACATTCCAAGATCTGAAAGACTTTTTACCTGCCAAAGCCAAAACACAGCTCTCTGGGGTGTGCTTTTCCAGTAAGCATTAATGACGTCCACAACACCTAATGCAGAGCAGAGGTTTGGGTTTCTTATGCTGCTCTGGGGGTTAGGAGGGTCACAGATGAGAGTTGTATGGGTGAGAAGAGGCTGGAGGGGGAGTGCAGGGGTCCAAGGAGGAAAAGCAATGAGCTGTAAGACTCAGGTGTGAGACAAAGATACTAATTCAATGTTTTAAGGGGCTTAAGAGCAAAATAAAAGGCCAGAGTTTCTCCTAAGTTTGTTTTTAAATATAGGAAGCCACTCAAAGCTGAAGTTTTTGTGTAATTTTTTATGACAATCAATTCCACAAACACACAATGGCCATTACAACATAATAAATTAATTCATCTGTTCCTTTGATTTATATGTTGGCAAACTATTTATATTCAAATGCATCCAAGTACAATAAGTGATCTAAAAGCTCTTACCATCCTGCCTTCCCAATCACTGAGGCAGCTGATCTGTAAAGGAATCAAGCACCCACTGATCCAGACAGGACAAAATATTTAAGACTCTAATCACTGCCACAGCATCTATGGACTCATTCCATGTTCTCAATGAGACACTGTTTGACATATGGACTCTCCTTTCCAAGAAATCATGCCTGCATAAAGGGATACAGACACAGAAGGAAATCTGGGTCTCATTACCACAAAAGGCTCTTGTGTTATGGATTACTTAAAAACACACACGCACAAACATTGTCTTTTGTTGTTCTAAAACTAAATGTCTCAGTCAATGGAATTCAGATGAATACCCTACTGCTGGACAAGTTTCTCTCCTTGTGTCCAGGTTTTCTCTTGAACACTCTAACAATAACTTACCCATTTAGCAAAGCACAATAAAGTTGGGGCCCAGGTAGTTTCCCAAACAGTATTAATTCATGCAATGTAAAGCCTATCTAGCAAAGTCTCAGGAATATTAGGGAATAAGCAGTCTGGAGTTCCTATACTAGATTCTCCCACAGTGCAGATACTACAGGATAAAAAATAAATAAAAATAAAAATACATAAAAAACAAAAAAAACATGGTCAAAGGCTTAGGAAGGGTTATTACTCAAAGCAAGGGAGGAAACTATACCATGACAGGAACAATATGGCCCTTAGAATCAGGCCGAACAGAGATAATCTTGGCTTTACCACTGGCTAATTTGAGATCTTGGAAAACATAACTAATCTGGGCCTTGGTTTTCCCTATCTTAAAATAAAACAACCCAGAAGTATTTTTTTCTTCACAAAGAAACTGATTCTCAAAGTTCCAAAAGTGACAGTAATAAATGTGATAATGTCATGTACAGTTGTTACTGCATCTCTACTCATCAACCTACCCTTTTTTCAACAGGGGACACTAGTTATCTCTCAAGACAGTGCACGTATCTTTGCTTCTATATAAAGGTTTTCCTGATAACCATCTGGTAAAACTATCTCTACTTCTTTATGTTCCACATACCTGGTATAAACTTCTAAGTTCCTAATTTGATACACTATGGATTCAACAAACACTTTCTGATTGGTTTGATTATAAATCTGATGCTCTGGATAGGACTACAATCATCCTGAGAATACATGGATTCCTTAATTCCTGGTATACAGTCAACACTTGACACAGCAAATAACAAATCCAGGGCACTCAATGTATTTACTACATGTTAGTACCTTGCAGAATGCTAGCTGGATTTTTAAGTCCAATACTACCATATACACTTCTTAAAACTGCTAACTCCAAGAGGTATGGGGAAGTGATGGGCTCTTAGAAGAAAATTAAACATTCACTTAATTTCCCATTTCATTTTACAGTAACTGTGCTAAAAGGCTGCACTAATTTTTTGTTTTTTGTAAGTGGACCCACCTTATAGGACATTGTAAGTGTAGACGGCTATAAAAGCTATGAAAAACTAGGATACAAGGCACTTCAAAGAAAACAAAAATAGAACCAAGAAACCTCCTTGAGTGGATTAAAGTAACAGACCACACCACTAATGCTATTCCCGTTTCTCTTCCTGCTCCTTTCAGATCATTCTGTATTTAGAAGCTAGAGTGACTGTTAACAGCATAGCTGAGCCCAGGCCAGGTCCTTTTCTAAGCCCTCAGGACTGCCCACTTCACTGGGAACAAAATAGAACCTCTTTACAGTGGCCCCAAGGCCCTGAGTGACCTCTCTTCTTTCCTCTAATATAAATCTTCCTATACACACCATGTTCCAACCACACAGGTCTGGTCTACTCTGTCCCAACTTTCTTCCTTCCTTTCCTATCTTTCTCCTACCTTCCTTCTCCTTTTGTCCTATTTTTTCTTCCTGTCTTCCCCCTTCCCTCATGTTTTCCTTCCTCCTTTCCTTGCCTTCCCTTTCCCTCCCTTTCTTTGTTCTCTCCTTTCTTCCCTTCCTCCCTCCTTTGTAATTAATTCAATTATATTTATTAAGTATATCCTGTATGAAAACTTATGTCACTTTCATTCCACCACAATAAACTAGAGCTACAAATATTTATTCAATATACAGGTGAAGAATTAAACATAGCTTGCTAAAGTACAAGTTTGTTTTCCCACACACCTGACCCTGCTTTTTTCAAGTATGACACTCCTCCTTCATCATAACTCTGTACTTCTTGCCCTATCTCGCAGCAGTGCCTTCCCCTAGCAGTAGTATAATTTGCGTTTAGCCTTCCCAATCTCTTTAGAGAGGTCTATCTCCTCTGACTAGTATCTAAAGTAGGTTCACTCATTCTCTATGATAGGACATTGTTTTATTAAGAACTTGCTAACTAGTTTCCTGTTTACTGGCTGTCTCCTTTAAGGTGTCATAGAAGGAAAGAACATGTGCTTTTGTTTTTGTTTTTTCATTCTTATGTCTTCAAGCCCTAACCAAGTGCCTGGTTTATAGGTGATTGATAGTTTTTTTTTAATGAATCAATGAGGAAAATGATAAACTATGACCTTCAAGGCACTACAACTTTGCCTTACATTAACTCCAAAGCACACTTGTATGATATGTAGAGGTTTGAGGGTCGCAGACCACATAAACCCCAGCTAGATTACTACATAGCTTTTAGTCCCAAACAAGTCATTGAATATCACTTTCTCATGGGCCTGCTTTTGGATTTGTAAAGATTTAAGAAAGGCAAAAATCTCTTACTTTTACAGATATCGCTATATCTCACTTATCTCTTACAACCATCATGTAGCACAGATAGGGCACTGCTTTGGAAGTCAACTCAAAGACACAGTTTATACAAAGGAACCAGGACAGGAATAGATTTTGAAATGTTTCATTTGTTATCTTCCTTGTTTTATGTCTCAATGACTTATTTCTTGAAAGGGCATTATTTAAAATAGTATTCATTGCTTACAAACCACATACAGAAATCATTTCTTTCTAGGAAAATGGTGATAAGTCCTGACCAAAACTAGTAATGCTCTCTTCTTGAATAAGTTCTTCCCACATAGATAACATATATGCTACTTTGGGAATAATATAGGTTAAGATATTTAGAAGGTCTCAAATCACCCTTTAGGCTAACAATATCATTTTATTGCTAATAATAAACATTTCTTTGGCATATTTGCAAAGAAATCAGGAAAAGATTTTTTAAAAATATAGGAATTATTATGAATCATATATCATAATACCTTTAATGTGATAAAAGAAATTATAACAAATTAAACCTATAGTATCAAAATTAAATTTTCAGATATCTTTCTGGCTAGCTGGAACAGATTCATGTTTACTGTTCGTTACAACTACACACTTTTTCCCCCCATGAAACTCAACGCCAGAGGATAGGGAGATTATAGTAATTCCTAACCACCATACTCCTTGGTCTGTTTAAACCTCATTTAAAAATGATTTTCTTTTAAATTATAAGTAAAAGATTCAGTAATTTTTTTTTATGATTAAGCTAAATATTTTTTATTAGGTTTCCCTATTAAAATAGGAAATCTGACTATACATACTTCCAATGAAAAAAGACAATAAGGTAACAAACTATTTTGGACAAACTGCTAGGCATCCAGCATTTTATGGTGAACCTATTCATATATAGATACATATATCTTTTGAAGTAAAAAAGAAATAAGATACCTTGAAAGTCCTCAGAATTAGGCAACCTGACACCGCATACAAAGTAATCCTTATGATCATTCTGCAAATTTAACCAAAGAATAAAATTAATTTTTATGTACCTAAAGTAAGAAAATTATAAGCAATTCTCTAAGAATTTGGCAGGTCGTACTAAGACTCAAAACAATATCTTAGCTGGTAAAGCTGGATGAGGAGCATATGTTCACTCACTACATTATCTTTCTTAATTTATATATATTTGAAATTGTCTATAATAAAAACATGTCCAAGAAAAGGTCATGTTAAAATGTTATCATAAAAAATACCTTCTGAGCCTGGCACCAGTGGTTCATGCCTATAATCTCAGCTACTCAGGAACCTGGAGATCTGACTATCATGGTTCGAAACTAGCCCTGGCAGAAAAGTCCACAGAGACTCATCTCCAACTAACCAGAAAAATGCCAGAAGTGGAATGGTAGCTGAAGTTGTAGAATGCCACCCTAAGCTAAAAAGTGCTCAAACCCTGATTTCAAGCCCAAGAACCACTCTCTCTCACCCCTAAAGATAGATCTATCTATGGATTATGGATAGAAAATTCTGGTTAATTCCTATCTATAAATGAGAAAATTCAAACTCTATTAGTTTTTTCCCCTGAAAATTAAATTTTAAACACACTTCCATTAACAAGAGAATTGGATTTAAAATTGGATTTAAAATTTAAAATTGGATTTAAAAAACATTTTTCTTTTTTTTTTTTGGCAATACTGAACTTGTCTCAGCAAGTGTTCTACAACTTGGGTCCCACCTAATCCTTTGTTTTTTAGTTTATTTTCCAGATAGAGTCTCATGCTTTTGCCCATGGCCTGGACAATGATCCTCCTACCCCAACCTCCTGACTGGGCTAGATTACAGGCATGCACCACCCCACTTACAGATTTGGTTTTTAAGAAAAATCTTAATCACTTTTCCTGAAGGATTATTTGTTGTATGTATTTTAAAAGAAACCAGATTCAAATTGTAACATCCTGATAAGTTATCCCACCAAAATCTTAATAAACACGAATAAGCAATTACCAATGTATAAGCAGTACACATATACCTGCAGGTATTGTCAGAAAAGTTACTAGAGGATAATGTGAATGAATACAAAGATTATAAAGAAATTAGAAATAATTTGACATTCTCAGGAGAAATCCTACCACCAAAGCAATATAAAAAAATCAAAGTTTTCAAATAGAAATTAGTATCTGAATGAGAGCATATGATTAAAATCAGAACAATGAGTTTTGCATTAAGAGGGAATTCCAAATGGAATTATCTTTTTAAGAAGAAAACTCTTTTTGGAAAACTGAAACTTACCAAGTCAATAGGATAAATGTAGGAAAGCTCAGAGAGTAATTGCCTGCAACGAATTGTTAACTGAGCATTGGTCTTCAGAAAGAGTTCTCTAATGAAAAAACAAAACAAAGTACATTCATTAAAAAAAATGCTTGCATGCTTTCTAACATTTATTGCCACACAATTTGTGCAGGAGGAGATTAAATGGTCTGTAGTAGGTCACCGACTTTCACAAGAAGAGGCAAGAATAATAGCTATCTTCAGTTCTACCTATCTTGTTCCTTAAGGTAACTGCAGTGTATGCATTATAGTTTCACACTAAATAAACTAAGCTAATGTGTGTGCAACACCATGCTAAGAGATGAAAAGGTACATATAGCCATTCATTGACACCTGCTAATATACAGAAGGAACATTACAAATGGCTTTATTCAATTATTTCAACAGCTCTACTAGGTTGCTGTTATTATTCCCATTTATAAACAGGGAAGACAAAAAAACTATGCCTCTGTAGAGTCCTAGTAAACTAATAAAGGTTTAATATTCATTATCTAATGAGGACAATTTGACTTCAAGAAAGATACACATAGTATATCCTTAAAATAGTCTTTGATTGACAACTATGTGCTATAACAAGCTTTTGCAATGTTAGAAAAATTATAAAGTAAAAAGAAATAAAAGATATAGTAAAAGATGACTCAGTTCTTCTCTAGAACTACTTTAAAAACAAGACCAATATGAAGTACCACAGAATAAATTAACTACTGACAGTTAGCAATTTGAGAAATAAAAAGATATAGAATATATTTTAGGTGTAATGCAAAAGTTGCAGAGTATCTGATTTCTTAAATTTGAATAGGCATATATAAATTAAGTTTCTGCCTTACAACAACAACAAAAAAGTTGTAGAATGAAGTAGAATGCTTAGATGTTCTAAATAAAAGAAGTATGTGGTGTTTGTTCTACATTCTAACCACAGAGAACCTAAAACCTTCAGAATTTTCCAAGTTATTGCAATGTTTTTATATTCACAACAAGCCTCATTTGATAATACCAGAGTTTATAATAATGAGGTGAGTTGATGTGGGACCTTTAAGACAGACTAGAGTTAGAACTGACTACTAGAAAGATCAAGTAACTAGAGCCCCAAGCATCAACTTCTAAGAAGAGGTACAAGGGGAGCTGTAGATCAAGGAGTATGGAGAATGGCCTACCTCGAGAGGCCACCCTACCTCAACCCTTACCCTTTGCTCTGTCTCTTCCATCAGGTTGCTTACTTGTATCTTTCGCAATATTCCTTATAATAAAGAAGCCAACATTAGGGCTTCTCTTAATTTCTTTTTGCCATTTTAGTAAACTACAAATTAACTGAACCAGCCAAGGAAGGATTTGTGAGAAACATAGGTCTACAATCTGGGACTTCTGACTATATGCAATCAGTGGGAGATTATATTCTTGTGAAACCAAGTAGGAATAGATATATCTCCTGGTAAACAGTGTCCAAATTGAATTAAATTATAGTGTATTCAATTGGTGCTTGCTGGAGAACCTGGTGTCAAAAATGTTGTATATGAGGATGAGAAAAACACTGAATGCTCTGGTTTAAACAACACTAAAGATTAAATGGGGTCTAGTTCTGGCTTTGCTTGTGAACCAGATAAACAGAAATTTTCCATCTTCAAACTGCGAGGATTAGAAGTGGTGCTGTGGCTCAAGCGGTAGAGCGCTCGCCTTGAGCTGAAGAGCTGAGGGACAGCACCCAAGCCCAGAGTTCAAGCCCCATGACTGACCAAAAAAAAAAAAAACAACAAAAAATAAAAAACAAAAAAACAAACTGTGAGGATTAAAGATCTCAAGGTTCTTTCCAGATCTAGTATTCTTAAGGCCTTAGTTACCAAGGTGGTTTCTCAAAGAAAAAAATACAGGCTGGCAGAACTTTCCAGGAAAATGAGTGAACATGAAAGAAAGTATAGAGGTGGTAATGCATTAAGAATGTAGTAGGAAAAATAAAGAGAAAAACTAAAATTAACTATAGTTGTATAATGTCAAACTTCCTATTAAAGGCTATTTGAAAATTAGCAAAAGAATCATTAAGAAGAGGAAAAAAGAATGGCAATTTAAGAGGAAAGGCCTGACAGCATATAAAAAATGAACTAGAGATGGAGGGATTGAGGATACAGAGATTTTCTAGGGGACTGTTGAGGTCATCCAAAATACCTTCAAGAAATATAAACAGGACCAGGTGCCAGTGGCTCCTGCCCATATTACTAGCTACTTTGAAGGCTGAACTCAGAATAATCATAGCTCTTCGCCAGCATGGGCAAAAATAGTTTGAGATCACATGTCAACAGAAAAAGTTGGGTGTAGTGGTATGTGCCTGCCATTCTAGCTATACATATAGCATAAATAGAAGAATGGAGGACCATTCCTGTCCAGGGCTGATCCTATCTCACAAACAGCCAGCACAAAAAGTGGTGGAGACATGGCTCAAGTAGTAGTGCCTGCCTAGCAAGCATTAAGCCCTTTGAATTCCCTATATTAACAAAAACAAAATAGCAAGAAGAAGAGAGAGATGGGGGAGGGAGAGAGGGAGGGAGGGAGGGAGGGAGGGAGGAAGGAAGGAAGGAAGGAAGGAAGGAAGGAAGGAAGGAAGGAAGGAAGGAAGGAAGGAAGGAGAGAGATAATGATGACAGAAAGTGAGAGAGAAAGAGGAATTAGTCTAAAAATTATTTAAATAAAAATTGTAAGTGAAATTGCATGCAGAAGACAGGAAGAGGGAAAGACTCCAATATTAAGTGACAGTGCTATATGTCATGGGAGGCTAGAACAATGTTGGTGTTTCTGATTATGATGACATAGTAGAAGCTTTTGTAACTGGCTTCTTGCACAGTGTATGGCACAAAATAGATATGAATGACTGCTTTGTGGAACAAATAATGGCATTCTGAGATGAATGGAATATATATTAATACCAGCATTTTAAAGAATACTTCACTTTCAAACATACCATCACAGCATACTCACATTCAGAGCAACCTTTCTCCTCATTGCATTTACCTTTTGGCGGTGCACTCCTTCCTCAACTCATCTAGGGATTCCTTCTGGAGTTGAAGCTTGATGTGTTCAGTTGAAAATGTGCTGCCTGGAGGGAGAGAGATTGAAGGAGATAATTCCAGATGTAATATTGCAGACAGACAGGACTGCTCAATCATATCTTTTCTGGCAGAGCCCAGTCTCCTAACTGTGAGAGGGGTAGAAAAAGACTCAGAAGGAAAAGTGCATCAAAGTGTAGAGGTCCCTAGAGGGATTAACCAGAACAAACTTCCTATTGATTCATTCTGCATACAAGTCCAGCCCCTAGCAGGAGCCAAAGAGCAGGATTCTAGTACTCTCTGCCCACAGATTTTTGGAGAGGTGACCAAGAAACCTTGATCTCAAAATTCAGATTTAAAAAAAAAAAAAAAGGACCGGATAATTTATTCTCAACCACAAATGCTATGTAAGAACATTACTGAAATATAAAGTGTAGAGCAGGAAAAATTATCTGCCTTTTGATTACTATAATATAGTTCATACATACAAGTAGTTTTTATGAACTTCCATCTTGGTCATAAACATAAGTAGTTTTAGTGAAAAATCACTGGGTACAGGAAATGTGTATTCTGATTTTTCCACATTATGTCATAAGCAGTTTTACATGTTGACAGTCTGAAGTTATAGCTGTATAAAATTTAACTCCATAGATGTGATTATAAGAATATTCCACATTTTATCTGATACCCTCATACACCAATCCCATTACAGAACATTTAATTTCCTTTAAGTGTTTGCTTTAGCATTCTAATGATTAATACTTATATTTATATGCCTAAGTTTAGTGTTTCTATCAACTTTTTAACCCCAATTTTGGTCATAAAAGCCTTTTACATCTTCCTGCTCTGAGAAAATGAGAGCTCTTACATTCATGGAGATCCAGGCCTGATTGTAACACCAGAGACTCCAATACACAAAGTTTCAGATTACTTACAAAGGAGCTGAGTTTCATGAATTGTGATCCAGTAAAAAAAGACACCAAAAACTCTACTCCTATAGGAAGAGTAAAAAGTAGGTTTATCTGAGCACAATATCCACTACCTGAGTAGTTTTATTTTCCAATGCTGATGATGGAATCCAGGGCCTGGAGCAGGCTAGGCAAGTGCTCAACCACTGAGCCACACTCCAATCCTAAGGAGTGTTGCCAATGCATTCATAGGTAGGTACCATACTCCTCTCTCTCAGTTGCACTTTAAAGACCCATAAGTGGGAAACTCTATGCCCATTCCCTAAACAGAACTTAATGAAGGAACACCATTTATCTTTGTTAGCTCTTAATACAATGCGCCCCCCAATCATCATCTTATTGATTTCATAAGATATTAAGGTGAGTATTTAATACTCAAAAAGGTGAGACCTGACTCTGCATTCTATGCAACTGTATGTAATCATTAGGGATTTCACCATGGAGACACTCTTCAGTCTGTCTCCAGTGCCCTTGTGACCTATTCCCATCATGTTTAAAATGTCATCTTATTATCATTTGCCTATCTGTAGGATCTGAAGTGATGTCTTCTGTCATTCCTGACATTTGTATGTCCTCCAAGTAAAAACTTGGTCAGTCTGACAGCAGTTTAACAATTCTAGTGATCTCTTCAAATAACTAGCTTTGGCTTTGGTGGTAGCCAATGTTCTTTTTGTGTTATTTGTTTCATTGATTTCTGCCCTTTATTATTTCCTTCCTTCTGCTTGAATTGGGCTTAATTTGTTCTTTTTCTGTTAAAGCACAAGCTTAGATTATTGATTGCAGACCTTCTCTTTAAATGTGAGTTTTTTTAATGCTATAAAATTTCCCCTAAGCTTGCATGCCTCCAAATATTTAGATATTCATTTTCATTCAACTCCAAATATTTTCTAACTTGTCTTGTTTCTTCTTTGACTCATAGTTTCTTATATGTATGCTGTGCAATTTCCAAACAGATGAAATTTTCTAGCCAACTTTCTGTTAGTGGTTTCTAGTTTATTTCTGCTTTAGTGAGAGGATAATTTTAGCGAGAGTATAATTTTAATAATTTTTATGTTTGTTTTATAGTACCAAATATATTCTAACTGAATGTTTCATGTATACTTGGGGGGGGAGTATATTCTGCATGGCTCAGAGAAATGGTATACTTGCACTATGAAGAACTTTCTTTTTTTCTGGGTATTTGGGGGTAGTATGAAGGTTTGATTTAAAGGCCGCTTGAATTATGCCTGGAACACTTTTGCTTTAGTTATTTCTTCAGGGTCTACATTTTTGTCTGGGGCCGGCTTTGGACCATAATCTTTCTACCTCAAGCGTGTATGTTTGGTATCATAGGCATGAACCACCACACATGGCTTATTTGTTGAGATGGTAGTCTTACCCAGAATGATCATGAACTATAGCCCTCCCAGTCTGCCTACTGAGAAGCTGGGATTTATAGGCATGTAGTACTACACATGACAGGATCTTTTATTCTAACTAATTTTTTCTTTACTTGTTCTATCAATTACTGAGAGATGAATGTTGCCGTTTCCAACTATAATTTGTGCATTTGGCTATTTTCCTTACAGGCACAATAGGCTTTCATCTGTCCCTTGGACAGATGAAAGCTCTTCTCCTAGAGACTTAATATTGTTGTTCTAAGTGAAAGATTATGCTTCTCTTATAAGAATAGCCACTCCCCTCCTCTAAAACTAGACCTCCTTTCCTGACTTGTCTGCAATCTTTCATGTGAACCTAAAATGAAGGTGTATGCAGAAGGTATGAGTGGTCTTATTATTTAATGTTTCACACTAGAACAAACTTGGCCATGAATGATCTCTGCAAGGCTTTTGGTGAAGCCAGGCACTGTGGCTCATGCCTGTAATCCTTGCTGAGGAGGCTGAGATCTGAAAATCACAGTCCAAAGCCAGCCGGGGCAGGAAAGTCCATGAGATTCTTATTTCCAATAAACCACCAGAAAACTGGAAGTGTTCAATGGCTCAAAGCGGTAGACCAACAGCCTTGAGCAAAAAAGCCCATATACAACACCCAGGCCCTGAGTTTAAGCTCCACGACTGTAAAAAAAAAAAAAAAAAAGCTTTTGGTGACTGATTTTACCTTCTCATTCAGAAGCCCCCACTTCTTCCCATTTTATGCCACTTGTGGTAGATACCATCCTCCTTCCTTGTGCTTTCTTTGTACAGCAGGCTTCTTGGCTGCTCTGAGATCTTAGCTCTCTAAAAGTTAAGAACTTGTACATTACCCAGCTTCTTATTTGTGTAGACATCAAAACCTTCCCAGCTTTTTTTTTCTTTTTGGTTCTGGCCCTGTGGCTTGAACTAAGGGTCTGGGTGCTGTTCCTGAGCTTCTTTTGCTCAAGGCTGGTGCTCTCTACACTTGAGCCACACAGTTCTACTTCTGGGCTTTTTGGGTAGTTTAGTGGAGAAAACCTTCCTTCCCAGGCTAGTTTTGAACTGCGATCCTCAGATCCCAGCCTCCTGAATAGCTAGGATTACAGGTGTGAGCCACCAGCATCACACTTATCCTTCTAGCTTTCTACATTAGGTAGAGGAGAGAAGTCAAATTTAAGGGAATTCTTTTTTTTTTAAGTTCTTCCCCACTTTTTGTATTTTCCTGTTCCCCCACTGCTTTGTTCAACTTGGTCTTGTTCATTCTGTTTTCTTCAAATATCTGATGCCTTTGTTCTCTTTTCCAATCCAATGAGTAAGTGCTTAGAATGATTAGTATAGATCATGGGGATATATATATATATATATATATATATATATATATATGTTTCTTTGAATCTGTAAGGACTCTTTTATACGAGAGATTTCATTGCTCAGTGCCAGCTCAGTATAAGTGATCAGGCTTGTTGACAAGCAGGCTTTATTTTAGGATGTGTATGTTGGGAGAAGGCAGTTCCTTTTTTAAACTACCACAAGGGTCAAATAAAAAGACGTTATTTTGAGATTGTGTTATTTCAGGGTATTTTGCTCCTAAGTACAGCCGTCTTTCATGTTTTCCTCTGGATGGGTATAAAGGTTCACAGTCACTTTAGGTTCTGCTTTCTACCTTTGCACCATGCCAGACTCTTACACCATAGGACCTACCCAGGTCAAGAGTCCATTACATTCAAAAGTAGTGAAAGTAAGTATTTTAAGAAGTTACTCAGATACACAGAGAATGAGCCAGGAGGCACATCCACTCTGACTACTGTTCTGGTTGGTTCCTGATCTTTCCACTTGGAAATTTCAAGCATGAAGCTTCTAAGGATACTCCGCCACTGCAACATTTTCCATTTCTGTTCTGGACCATTTTTCTCTACTCTATTTTTCTTACCTAAATAGTCCTATCTACTTAGTGTCAAAATCTTTGCAGATCTGATGGGTCCCTCCTTTTGTTCTCACAATGGCCATGGAATTATTCTAAACGTTCTATTATGTCAAATGGAGAGAAGGAAAGCAAATGTATGTGCTTCGTTTGTCATCTTCCAAAAATGCTTTCTGAAATACTTGGCTCTGTCCAGGTATATATCAATGCTCCAATCAAGTAAGACGGCCCTTCTATTCAACATGAACACAGTAAGCCACCATAATTTTAATAACCAAATATCAAAATTGGCTCCTGTAAACCTAATAACTAAAGATTATGAGTCTTGCTTCCACCAACAAAACACATATGAATTCTTCAAGTTTTCTCTCCCCAGAGACTTTGGACACAGATTGGCCAAGGGCCAGTTCCCATCAAAATCACAGTTAAAAGCAATGAACAATCATTCTTCTGGGTTTTCCATATCATGTCAGATGACCCAAAAGGAATACATTTGCACTACTCTGGTTTCTCTCCCTTCTAAATTGCCTCTTCTGAACTATGATGTATTATGCTGCCTTTCTCAAGGGCTAATAGATATTTCTTGCTATAACTTTTGCAAAATTGCAATGGACTATATTTCATTATGATGTTTAAACTCTTGGACATAAGAAATGGCATGTTAAATTCCTCTTAGAATTTAGTGCTAAGAGAATTTTTTCCTTCTCATTAAAGAACTGATAAGTTCCCTTGTAGATGGGAATGGGAAGCAATTGATACCTTTCACAGCT